AGTCAAAAAAGCATATTTGGGATGCATGACGCGACGGCCACAAAGCCGGGAAATTCCTAAATCACACCTATCGCGCAGCTCACACAACTGTCCCAAGACTGTCAGCTCACGCAACCGTCCCAAGACTGTCAGCTCACGCAACCGTCCCAAGACTGTCAGCTCACGCAACCGTCCCAAGACTGTCAGCTCACACAACCGTCCCAAGACTGTCAGCTCACACAACCGTCCCAAGACTGTCAGCTCACGCAACCGTCCCAAGACTGTCAGCTCACGCAACCGTCCCAAGACTGTCAGTCAGCTCACGCAACCATCCCAAGACTGTCAGCTCACGCAACCGTCCCAAGACTGTCAGCTCACGCAACCGTCCCAAGACTGTCAGCTCACACAACCGTCCCAAGACTGTCAGCTCACGCAACCGTCCCAAGACTGTCAGCTCACGCAACCGTCCCAAGACTGGCAGCTCACACAACCGTCCCAAGACTGTCAGCTCACGCCACCGTCCCAAGACTGTCAGCTCACGCAACCGTCCCAAGACTGTCAGCTCATGCAACCGTCCCAAGACTGTCAGCTCACGCAACCGTCCCAAGACTGTCAGCTCACGCAACCGTCCCAAGACTGTCAGCTCACACAACCGTCCCAAGACTGTCAGCTCACGCAACCGTCCCAAGACTGTCAGCTCACGCAACGGTCCCAAGACTGGCAGCTCACGCAACCATCCCAAGATTATCAGCTCACGCAACTGTCCCAAGACTGTCAGCTCACACAACCATCCCAAGACTGTCAGCTCACGCAACCGTCCCAAGACTGTCAGCTCACGCAACCGTCCCAAGACGGTGGTGGGGTGGTGGTGGTGGGGTGGTGGTGGGGTGGTGGTGGTGGGGTGGTGGTGGTGGGGTGGTGGTGGTGGGGTGGTGGTGGGGTGGTGGTGGTGGGGTGGTGGTGGGGTGGTGGGGTGGTGGTGGTGGGGTGGTGGTGGGGTGGTGGTGGGGTGGTGGTGGGGTGGTGGTGGGGTGGTGGTGGGGTGGTGGTGGGGTGTTGGTGGTGGGGTGGTGGTGGTGGGGTAGTGGCGGCGTCCCACGGAAGCAGAAATGCGGTTCTTGTTTCGTACACGAGCCAGTGTAATTTTTTTAAATTTTGTTTTATAACGTTGGTTACACGAATGCCATGGTGTCATAACTACGGTATCTTTCAAAACGCAAACCAGGAAGGCAACATCACATCACTGACTTATTCTGTGAATGGTATTTCGCGAGTTCCCATCGCCGCGGCATTTCAACGTTGCAGATCACGTATATTACATCGCAAAATGCTTCTGAGAGTGCCACTTTTAATAGCAAAAGCTATGGGAGTTCATGTGATCAAGAGTACATAAACTAGAGTGTGCAACTCGGGATGGTTCCTGTGGGAGCGTAATTCGTGCAGTACATCATTTCTGACAGCATGGTAAGCCACAGGCATGGGGAAAAGTTGCGTAACCAGTCACAGTGGTGCAGGTCACTGAGTTTGTCCTGATTTCGGTTTTTTGATGGTGAATTTACTTGCCAGCGCATGTACACAGCGTACGCAGTCACACAAAAACACCGAAATCCTAAAACAGGACGTCTAAATCATGCAAACTTGGCTGATTTCCGGCCTGTGAAACAAGAAAATTTGAGCTGTACGCAAGTCGCAGGTGGGCTGATGTCATCAGGGTGACGTAGTGCACGAACTGCGCTGTTTCAGATCTGATATGCACAGTTGCACACTCTGGTTTATGTACTCTTGACGTGATGCGTCTTATGGGACTCTCTGTACATGACTGTGCCGGCGTTGGAACCGGTCCCTGAGTCTTGTTCTCGTTCTGTTTTCCTGGGTTTCTTCTCTTTCTGAGGCTCTCCTATCTATTACCTTTTCCTTTTTTTTCAGTTCTAATTCTATTATACCCTTTCACTGATGGTCCTTTATCACTGTCTTTTTCTCACGAAAATACTGCAAACAAGGCTTTTCATTGTGTTTATTTTGCCCGTAAAAAAGGCCTGTTCATCAGAAGAAAGCGCTTATAATTTATTTTCTGGCATCACCAAAGTAAAAGGAACGAAAACAAAAAAGAGCGTGCTCCCAGCAGGGCTCGAACCTGCGACATTCGCCTTATTAGCACGACGCTCTAACCGACTGAGCTATGGGAGCTCACAGAGAAAACAACCCGGAATACAAGTAACGTCAACTGAACTCCCACGGTATTTCAAGTTTGAGCAAAGGGGCAATCTTGCTATGGACCATCTAGGTCTTTTTTGCTGCTGGTTGTTCGAAACGAAGAATAGGGACCTTTCGCATTTGCTACGAAACGAATGCGAAACGAAAGTTTGATTCGGCTCGTAATCGTTTCGTTGAAAACAGATTTCAGGTTTCGCAAGTCGTCATGCAAATGTGCATGGCAACTACGAATACGGCCGCGGGCGCCGGTAGTTTCACGTACGGGTTTTTACACGCACACGTGCATGGATCATGGAATCAAGGGAAAAATGTGTACCTTGCAAAACATGTGTACCTATCCAAATAAATGTGTACCTATCCAAATAAATGTGTACCTGACGGATTCGGAGCGTGCCACGAATGAAGAGGCCTCCATTCGTGAAAACGAGTTCTCCGCAGGGACTCTGACGAATCCTCGAACCCAGGTGACGAATCAGCATTCGTTTCGTATCCGTCCGCGGGGTGTGAAAGGTCCCTAATGTACTGTATTTCCCCCGAATGTAAGTCGCACCCTTTCATACTCAACTTCTCGGGCAAAGAAGGGATGTGACTTACAATCGAATGTGATATCCTACTCATAGTCGTGTGCATGTATTGAAACTATATGGCTCAAACCTAAAAATGGGGATGCGACTTACAATTGAGTGTGCCTTATAATAGACCAATCCCGAAAAGATTGTCTGGGTTCGAAAGGGGGCATGTCAACTGAGAGTACACTGTACTGTACAACACATACATGGCACTACCTGATCAGCATGCGGCACAGGACGTGTTTGATAGTTCGCGTGTGAATGCGAGGGTAAGTACACGGTTTTCTCGTCAGTTGCATGCAAGAGAGACGATGCGACAGAAAGCAACGCCCTTTGTAGTTTTCTCTCTCGCACAGGTAATCATGGTAATGGTCTGCTGTTGGAGTTGAAATGCTAAGACATAATCCTTGTTTCGCTCTTCTGTGTAGTGTGAAGAGGTCAACGAACATGTAGAGCTCACTTTGATGAAGTAGGCAAGGCTGTGAGCGCTGTGGCTCAAAGCGATAGGCCCTAAATCTTACGAGATATTTCGAGTGCTATTGTTTTTGCGAGCGCTTCGTCTTCGATGAGTCCTGCCTCTTTCCTGGCAGCTGCCCTCCTATTGAGAAACATCATTCGCGCGAGCGTGATGAAGAACTATTTCGAAAGACAACATAGTCTTTATCACTGGGACGACAACTATGTGCACGTCCTGCAAGGGGAGAATGTCACCAGCGACATCAACGAAGACGACGGCAGTATTTCGGAAACCTGGAGTCAGCGGAGGTCGTCAAGCTCCTCCGCGACCCGGTACATGTACAGTATAGGTGACATGTCGACACGAGCGTGCGGAAACACATCATACACTGCAGTAATGTTGCGAGAGTTTGCGGAAGGAGTCCAAGTCGGGAAATCCAGCATCAGCTCCAAAAGCTACCTGTAGGTGGGCGATGAGACTCCAGCTTCAGACTACAACAGTCAGGACTTGTAAATAGTTGAACTTTGTGAAGCAGCAGATCGAGAAGTTAGCTGAAATCGTAGCTGTTGCAGTATGTCGGCGCTATGTAGCTTGCATTTTTTACGGAGAGTCGATCGCCACGCGAATGTTTCTCTCCTCACCGAGAGCTATCTGGCCTCCAAACTCCGTCAGGGTCTGCCTAAGGTACCGAAGGTCCTTTGACTAGCTGCTGGCAGGACTCCATCAAATCCTTTAGCTTCAGCTCGGCGAGCAAAAGTCTCTCTCTCCTCCGCCATGAGCTGACACACACAAACTGAATGCAAAACGATGCACTTCACACGTGCTGGCTTGCACGCGTGCCCCCTTTCACGAACCCAGACAATCTTTTCGGGATTGGTCTATTGCGGGAAATACCGTATTTTTGATATTTCACCTGGGTTGATATCTGATTGCCCAGTCTGCCATGCACAATGCTGGCAATGCAGGTATGATGATGATTAAAAAGAAGCATTGTTGGGAAGAATGTTCGAAGGTACAAATGATCTTCGTTTTCGAATTTAAAAGAAGGAACGTGCAATTCAAACGGTCCTTCCTGTACATATTTTTCCTCGTACACACTGCACAAATACGCACCTGTGCGCTCTGGTCGAAGTCGCATACAAGTGTCATGACACACATTGGTGACGACTCGGGTTGCAACACTGCATGCAAACACGCTGCACCCACCCGGCGAATCGACAAGATCCTTCCAATTTGTACAAGTGACATGCCGACCCTCACGGGGGTTCAGGGGTCAAAGTACGGTGACTACAGTCCATTCAGAAAAAGATGGACTTCTAGCTTTTGGCCATAAATGGGTCAAACTTTGAGTTTTTTTAGAATTTTTTTCTGCAATCCCCTATGGAATCCTCTTCCAATTATGTTTCTGAAGTCTATTTGTCCAAAAAGCAAGCCATAACAAGAATAGGATATCGGCCAGGTTTTGCCCCAGAAGCATTGAATTGGAAAAAACCATCAAAATCCAGGCCGTTTGACCCTGCCTGCAACAGTGCATTGTGGGGTTCGAACCCCAGTTCAGGTACCCTTTTTGGACTCTTTTTCAAAGTTCAAATTTCGCAGCACTGCACTGTGTACAGTGAAATCACGAAAAATCGCCAAATACGGGAGCTCGCCAGAGCCAGGGCCCATCTTTTTCTGAATGGACTGTAGGCTACAGGAACGTTGCAAAATTTCAGAGGTGCATGCATGCGATCCGTGCAAGTATCTCCTGTGGTTCTATTCCCTAACCTCACGGAACTCACCTAGGTCGTCGATGAAGACGGCGTACACATCCACCGTAGCCTTGCCCTTCTCCATGGCCCAGATTGATACGGTGAATGTGGTCTGTGTGCCCGGGGCTAACTGGGCAACTGCCGGGCTCACATCCACCTTGACTGTATCCACATTGGACAGCAACAGCGGCAATAGCGGCAACAGCAGCGGCAACAGCAACAGATGCATGATTAGCCCAAACGGCTACCTATGGACCGGGTATTGGTCCCTGCTGGTCATATTCTTCTCGAGAAATAAATATGAAAATAAATATAAGCCTGTGAACCAGGTGGGTACTTCCATTCTGGTCACATTGCATGCCACAACCAATGCCATTCTTTCCGGTCCCATTGTATGCAGGGGCGTAGCACCCGCTACGACTGGTACGACCATGGCCGTACCACTTTTCGAAAAGTGTGGTCCGTCTGGAACGTGCAAAACCGTAATAAAAAAATCAGGATCCATCGATGCATACATATACATACATGTACTTGTATCAAGTATGTACATGTATGCGCATCAGACTTTGACCATTTTATAGACTCGTGCTCGTAGATCTGTTATGCATCTGCAGTCGTACTGAGTACTGTACTCGACTCGACTGCACACTGCGCCTGAAGTGTGCAGTCGTACTGAGTACTGTACTCGACTGCACACTGCCCCTAGGCCTGAAGTGTGCAGTCGTACTGAGTACTGAGTACTGTACTCGACTGCACACTGCCCCTAGGCCTGAAGTGTGCAGTCGTACTGAGTACTGTACTCGACTGCACACTGCCCCTAGGCCTGAAGTGTGCAGTCGTACTGAGTACTGTACTCGACTGCACACTGCCCCTAGGCCTGAAGTGTGCAGTCGTACTGAGTACTGTACTCGACTGCACACTGCCCCTAGGCCTGAAGTGTGCAGTCGTACTGAGTACTGTACTCGACTGCACACTGCCCCTAGGCCTGAAGTGTGCAGTCGTACTGAGTACTGTACTCGACTGCACACTGCCCCTAGGCCTGAAGTGTGCAGTCGTACTGAGTACTGTACTCGACTGCACACTGCCCCTAGGCCTGAAGTGTGCAGTCGTACTGAGTACTGTACTCGACTGCACACTGCCCCTAGGCCTGAAGTGTGCAGTCGTACTGAGTACTGTACTCGACTGCACACTGCCCCTAGGCCTGAAGTGTGCAGTCGTACTGAGTACTGTACTCGACTGCACACTGCCCCTAGGCCTGAAGTGTGCCAAAAGTAACCCAGAACGCAGGATTTTGTGTCTTTTTTACAAAATTTTCCCCCGGACCCCCCTCCAGCATGGCCTTCGGCCGCACCGACCTTCGGTCGTACCACTTTCAAAAACCCTCCTACGCCCCTGGTATGCCACAACCAATGCCATCCTTTCCGCTCCCATTGCATGCCATAACCAATGCCATGATCAGGCATCAGATACAGCAGCTCCTAAACAGTGTGAGTCGCAACTATCAGATCCAAGAACCAGCAGTGGCCAAGAGCTGAAGGCCGAAATCCCATTGGCTGCATTCACATTGGCCTTGTGCAAGGCCCCCACGTTCTCTGGTTGTTGGCCTTGTGCAAGGCCCCACGTTCTCTGGTTGTTGGCCTTGTGCAAGGCCCCACGTTCTCTGGTTGTTGGCCTTGTGCAAGGCCCCACGTTCTCTGGTTGTTGGCCTTGTGCAAGGCCCCACGTTCTCTGGTTGTTGGCCTTGTGCAAGGCCCCACGTTCTCTGGTTGTTGGCCTTGTGCAAGGCCCCACGTTCCCTGGTTGTTGTTGTGCAAGGCCCCACGTTCCCTGGTTGTTGTTGTGCAAGGCCCCACGTTCCCTGGTTGTTGTTGTGCAAGGCCCCACGTTCCCTGGTTGTTGTTGTGCAAGGCCCCACGTTCCCTGGTTGTTGGCCTTGTGCAAGGCCCCACGTTCTCTGGTTGTTGGCCTTGTGCAAGGCCCCACGTTCTCTGGTTGTTGGCCTTGTGCAAGGCCCCACGTTCTCTGGTTGTTGGCCTTGTGCAAGGCCCCACGTTCTCTGGTTGTTGGCCTTGTGCAAGGCCCCACGTTCCCTGGTTGTTGTTGTGCAAGGCCCCACGTTCCCTGGTTGTTGTTGTGCAAGGCCCCACGTTCCCTGGTTGTTGTTGTGCAAGGCCCCACGTTCCCTGGTTGTTGTTGTGCAAGGCCCCACGTTCCCTGGTTGTTGTTGTGCAAGGCCCCACGTTCCCTGGTTGTTGTTGTGCAAGGCCCCACGTTCCCTGGTTGTTGTTGTGCAAGGCCCCACGTTCCCTGGTTGTTGTTGTGCAAGGCCCCACGTTCCCTGGTTGTTGTTGTGCAAGGCCCCACGTTCCCTGGTTGTTGTTGTGCAAGGCCCCACGTTCCCTGGTTGTTGTTGTGCAAGGCCCCACGTTCCCTGGTTGTTGTTGTGCAAGGCCCCACGTTCCCTGGTTGTTGTTGTGCAAGGCCCCACGTTCCCTGGTTGTTGTTGTGCAAGGCCCCACGTTCCCTGGTTGTTGTTGTGCAAGGCCCCACGTTCCCTGGTTGTTGTTGTGCAAGGCCCCACGTTCCCTGGTTGTTGTTGTGCAAGGCCCCACGTTCCCTGGTTGTTGTTGTGCAAGGCCCCACGTTCCCTGGTTGTTGTTGTGCAAGGCCCCACGTTCCCTGGTTGTTGTTGTGCAAGGCCCCACGTTCCCTGGTTGTTGTTGTGCAAGGCCCCACGTTCCCTGGTTGTTGTTGTGCAAGGCCCCACGTTCCCTGGTTGTTGTTGTGCAAGGCCCCACGTTCCCTGGTTGTTGTTGTGCAAGGCCCCACGTTCCCTGGTTGTTGTTGTGCAAGGCCCCACGTTCCCTGGTTGTTGTTGTGCAAGGCCCCACGTTCCCTGGTTGTTGTTGTGCAAGGCCCCACGTTCCCTGGTTGTTGTTGTGCAAGGCCCCACGTTCCCTGGTTGTTGTTGTGCAAGGCCCCACGTTCCCTGGTTGTTGTTGTGCAAGGCCCCACGTTCCCTGGTTGTTGTTGTGCAAGGCCCCACGTTCCCTGGTTGTTGTTGTGCAAGGCCCCACGTTCCCTGGTTGTTGTTGTGCAAGGCCCCACGTTCCCTGGTTGTTGTTGTGCAAGGCCCCACGTTCCCTGGTTGTTGTTGTGCAAGGCCCCACGTTCCCTGGTTGTTGTTGTGCAAGGCCCCACGTTCCCTGGTTGTTGTTGTGCAAGGCCCCACGTTCCCTGGTTGTTGTTGTGCAAGGCCCCACGTTCCCTGGTTGTTGTTGTGCAAGGCCCCACGTTCCCTGGTTGTTGTTGTGCAAGGCCCCACGTTCCCTGGTTGTTGTTGTGCAAGGCCCCACGTTCCCTGGTTGTTGTTGTGCAAGGCCCCACGTTCCCTGGTTGTTGTTGTGCAAGGCCCCACGTTCCCTGGTTGTTGTTGTGCAAGGCCCCACGTTCCCTGGTTGTTGTTGTGCAAGGCCCCACGTTCCCTGGTTGTTGTTGTGCAAGGCCCCACGTTCCCTGGTTGTTGTTGTGCAAGGCCCCACGTTCCCTGGTTGTTGTTGTGCAAGGCCCCACGTTCCCTGGTTGTTGTTGTGCAAGGCCCCACGTTCCCTGGTTGTTGTTGTGCAAGGCCCCACGTTCCCTGGTTGTTGTTGTGCAAGGCCCCACGTTCCCTGGTTGTTGTTGTGCAAGGCCCCACGTTCCCTGGTTGTTGTTGTGCAAGGCCCCACGTTCCCTGGTTGTTGTTGTGCAAGGCCCCACGTTCCCTGGTTGTTGTTGTGCAAGGCCCCACGTTCCCTGGTTGTTGTTGTGCAAGGCCCCACGTTCCCTGGTTGTTGTTGTGCAAGGCCCCACGTTCCCTGGTTGTTGTTGTGCAAGGCCCCACGTTCCCTGGTTGTTGTTGTGCAAGGCCCCACGTTCCCTGGTTGTTGTTGTGCAAGGCCCCACGTTCCCTGGTTGTTGTTGTGCAAGGCCCCACGTTCCCTGGTTGTTGTTGTGCAAGGCCCCACGTTCCCTGGTTGTTGTTGTGCAAGGCCCCACGTTCCCTGGTTGTTGTTGTGCAAGGCCCCACGTTCCCTGGTTGTTGTTGTGCAAGGCCCCACGTTCCCTGGTTGTTGTTGTGCAAGGCCCCACGTTCCCTGGTTGTTGTTGTGCAAGGCCCCACGTTCCCTGGTTGTTGTTGTGCAAGGCCCCACGTTCCCTGGTTGTTGTTGTGCAAGGCCCCACGTTCCCTGGTTGTTGTTGTGCAAGGCCCCACGTTCCCTGGTTGTTGTTGTGCAAGGCCCCACGTTCCCTGGTTGTTGTTGTGCAAGGCCCCACGTTCCCTGGTTGTTGTTGTGCAAGGCCCCACGTTCCCTGGTTGTTGTTGTGCAAGGCCCCACGTTCCCTGGTTGTTGTTGTGCAAGGCCCCACGTTCCCTGGTTGTTGTTGTGCAAGGCCCCACGTTCCCTGGTTGTTGTTGTGCAAGGCCCCACGTTCCCTGGTTGTTGTTGTGCAAGGCCCCACGTTCCCTGGTTGTTGTTGTGCAAGGCCCCACGTTCCCTGGTTGTTGTTGTGCAAGGCCCCACGTTCCCTGGTTGTTGTTGTGCAAGGCCCCACGTTCCCTGGTTGTTGTTGTGCAAGGCCCCACGTTCCCTGGTTGTTGTTGTGCAAGGCCCCACGTTCCCTGGTTGTTGGCCATACATGTACCCGTATAGTTAGACCTCGCTTATCCGGTCCTCTTTTATCCGGATCCCTCGCCATCCGGAAAAAAATCGTTGGTACCGATTTATAGCATGTGCCATGCATGCACACAGTGTGCGTTTTCGATTATCCGGTTCTCTTGCCTATCCGGATATTTTTTGTAGAAAACGGATGTGTGCGGTGAAGCTAGCTCTGACTGTACTTGAGTCATGTCATTCACAACAGCAACATGTCAATATACAAAGCATGCCTGTTGCACATGTGAGCTCCCATAGCTCAGTCGGTTAGAGCGTCGTGCTAATAACGCGAATGTCGCAGGTTCGAGCCCTGCTGGGAGCACGCTCTTTTTTTGTTTACTTCTTTTACTCATAAATGTCGCAATTTGTACTGCAAAAAGTTGAACAATTACAAGAGAGCAAGTGAACGTGCACTGCAGCTAGTAGAGATCCTTAGCAGAAGTACGCTAACGCTAACTTTTATGGTACTCACTCCCAGCCGTGACAAAAGACGTTATCGGGTAACGCAAAAACGTTACAGAGCTCAAAATAACGGGCCGACGTTCGTTATGGTAATTCTGCAAAAAATGCAAAAACTCGCATTGTTTTGTAACTGGCGGGAGATGAAAAGCACGTGCAGATCGAGATCAGAGTCGAGATTGCTTCCTCTCGTGACATTTAGCTTTTTTGGCGAGTTTTGCCTTTCAGTTGACAATGTCTGCGTCCTCTGCTTCGTGCCTTTCACCCTCTATCCCATCTGGGAAACAAAGGACCGGTTCCACGGCACTCCTGAGGAAGAAATTAATCGGCCTCTCCCAAACGTGTTGGAGCTGAGAACCCTTACAGTCTTCGGTGCTGCGTTAAGGAAAGGTTTTCCAAGGACCTGGGAACAGCAAAAAGTGCCTTTGCCATTCCAGAGTGAAAGACCTCACCAAGGTATTCGTTCGGAACGACAGCAAACTAATCCCGGGCTCAAAATTTTGACCCACACTTGTCTCCACGAAAATTCATATCGCCATGGTTGTCACGACTACTTCGTCTGAACTATAACGTACATTGTGCAAAGGGAAAGTCAGCTTGAACGATCTGAAGTACGGAAAGGTTTGCGTTTACGTTAGCGTTTTTTTAGCTAAGGATATCTATTAAATGGTTACTCCAATCATTCCTTTAGTGGATATCCCTAAAAGAACAAATAAGTACATCCTCAGGGAAGCAGATCATGTTGTAACATTATACATAATGCAAGGCTCTAAAGCGTCCACACTGGCTCTAAAGCGTCCACACTGGCTCTAAAGCGTCCACACTGGCTCTAAAGCGTCCACACTGGCTCTAAAGCATCCACACTGGCTCTAAAGCGTCCACACTGGCTCTAAAGCGTCCCCACTGGCTCTAAAGCGTCCCCACTGGCTCTAAAGCGGCGCAAGCACCCATTATGGCATACTGCATTGTACATACACACGTCCTTATCATGCAGGTGGTTGAAATTGACAGTTGCAGCTAATTTCAATGAAGAATCAATTTTGATGACGACAAGTCACATGAACATATTAGCACCTTACTGCTTGCTGTGTTTAGCATTTAGCCCGGCCAGGCGAGCCCCAGCCAGGCCAGCCCCAGCCAGTCCAGACCCAGCCAGGCCAGCCCCAGCCCCAGCCAGGCCAGACCCAGCCAGGCCAGACCCAGCCAGCCCAGACTCAGTCAGGCCAGACCCAGCCAGGCCAGACCCAGCCAGGCCAGACTCAGCCAGCCCAGTCCCAACCAGCCTATACACAGCCAGCCCAGACCCAGCCAGGCCATACACAGCCCATACACAGCCAGCCCAGACACAGTCAGCCCAGTCCCAGCCAGCCAAGCCCCAGCCAGGCCAGACCCAGCCAGCCCATACACAGCCAGCCAAGACACAGTCAGCCCAGTCTCAGCCAGCCCAGACACAGCCAGGCCAGACCCCAGCCAGCCCAGCCCCAGCCGCCCAGTCCCAGCCAGCCCAGACCCAGCCAGGCCAGACCCAGCCAGCCCAGCCCCAGCCAGCCCAGACCCAGCCAGGCCAGACTCAGTCAGCCCAGACTCAGTCAGGCCAGACACAGCCAGCCCAGACCCGGCCAGGCCAGACCCAGCCAGCCCATACACAGCCAGGCCAGACCCAGCCAGCCAAACACAGCCAGGCCAGACCCAGCCAGTACATACACTGCCAGCCCAGACACAGCCAGCCCAAGTTAGTAAGTTCTGGGCACTGCTGTGGGGCCGTGTAGTTGAATTTCATTTAGTTATGAGGTTGGGTGTCATGACTCTCATTGCAGGATTGCAGTAGTGAAATCAGTACTGCGACCACATCTCCAAAGAGTTTCAAAGGCGACATCAGTGAAGTTGAATTAACAGCAAGGATACAGGATATGTTGCGACATTGTATATCCGACTTTCAGGGCCACAATTTCAGATGAGATTTTCTACAGTGTGCGGCCGAGGGTCTAGCAGTATGGGAAATCATCATCGTCAACTTACTGTGCTCAGGTGTGGAGAAAACCAGTCTAAATGGAACAAGAGCGGCACAATGATCGTTGCGAACACGAACCTGGTGCCGACTCCCATTGTTAACCACGATATGACCTGACTTCGGCATGACATACTCAGCCTGGGGAGGAAGAAAGGACAGCAAAAGAGAGAGAAGAGGAGTGAGGGAGAGGCAGAGAGAAAGAAGGAAAGAGAAGGATACAAACAAGGAGAGGGAGAAAATGTGAAAGAAGGACAGAGACAGAGGGAGATGGAATATAACTTCTTACGATAGATCGGAAAGTCCACCAGTGAAACGAAACCAGTATGATTCCGTTACAAACAAGATGCTGTTATAAATATAAACTCTGTGTGGCAGTGCACGTTCCCAGACCACATAAAAGGGTTAGGAACATTGTTCATACCCCCAGACTAGCCGGCCAGTATTTCACACCTTGCACAAGAACCAGCATACCTCCAGCTTCGGCATAATCGCCGTGGCAACCAGCGTGACGTCATCACGATAGGCCTCGTTGTGGTGCTGGTCCGCCTCGACAACGCCATCCTCTCTGCTAGCCGGTGTGACAGCACTGCAGTACTCCAGGGTAGCGGTGACAAGCGCACGGCCTTCACCACGGGGTAGGTTGAAGAAATGATGTGTCTGTGAGAAGGCAGGCCAGGAGGGAAAAAGACACAGTACCAGTAATGTTTTTATGCATTTTCGAATATTTTTTTGCTGAAGACACAACCTACTCGTGAGAAGAGAGGAGAGAAGTAGCAGGACAACACAGCAATGGGGAGAGTAGCGCCTCCAAGAAGGAACCTGTGCTGGTGAGGCAAGTCAACAAAGCAAAGCGAGATGGTGATACCTGCTAGTCTATTCTCTCCCAGTGACACTGACGTACCTGTGTCTCGTGAGGTGCTATGTAGCCTTCCTCGGGCTCAGTCGAGAATGTGAAGTTCTGATCCAGCTCAATGGCCCAGTGGAAACTACCAGAGAGAGAGAGAGAGAGAGAGTAGCAACCATCACATGACAGATACATCAAGTACACTTATGAAACAATGAGAGTTTCATAACTTCATCAGTGCATAAACACACACAGACACACATGGACACACATGGACACACATGGACAACTGAGTGCGACTTATAATCGGGGAAATTGGATGAGTTCAACGCAAACGGCGCCAATGACATCGTTACTGACGGTAGTCACTCATAGTTGATACTTACAATATGGGTGCTGATGTCGTGTTGGTGACCTGCACTTGCCTCTCACCAATGTGTCCACAACAAACGGTTGAGAAGTGACAGAATTTCTGTGAGTTGAAACACGGGATATACATGGGAAGAGAAATGGACAGATAGACAGCCAGACAGACACACAGATAGACAGACACACAGACACACAGACAGACACACAGACATGCACACGCATAAACACAGAAGTTAAAACATCTACGCTAGAACTGACAGGTCGAGAAAAATTACCGTTTTAGCAAGATGAGTAGAAAGGTCTGCACACACTCCTGAATACTGGTGATCAAACTCAAGACTACACACTCAACTCAGTATTAAGAAAATGAGAATACCTGTGCAGAAATACTCCCAATGTTAAGTGGACAGGAATAGATTGCTTCATGTCAGATGAAATTTAGTTTTCTTCAAGCTTACTGTGGGTTCTACAGATGGTCTTTCTACAAAGGACATAGGAATTACTGTGCGAGAATTTGTTCTTAGGTGCAAGGCGCGAACTGACGGTGGTGAGAAGGAAAGCTCTGTGCCAGAATAACTTTGCGGCCTAGAGAGCGTGTGCGGGCAGGCGTGTATTTACCGCCATATGAATCAACCATAATTTGTCGTTTACTGGACTTGATTGAGATCGGTTTGAGTAGCCACTCTGAGCTCTCAGCAGATGAGAACTAACATGGTTGACACGGCACCGAGCTGACTGGACTGTCTGGAGGTTGGATTCTGTGCAAGAAGTACATGTATGTACCATGCCATACGTACCATAAAAAAATTAAAAAGTTGATGTGGTTCAGTTCAGTCTCAAAGAAATCACAGTGCAACTCACGTTCTGCGACTCGATCTCCAGATGGGGCCGTTCTGCAGATGTCACAACCGTCAACTCCTACACGCAGTTGTTTCAAGCAGGATAACACACCAGTTGACAGATACACCAGACAAAGGGCATGGACATTATTATAGCTAGAGGTACATTTAGCAGAACAGCGATGGAATCCCTACTGAGCTGCCTTCCCTAGATCTGTCCATAGAGCAGACATCAGAGAATACAAAATGAGTAGGAATGTGGGGCAGGTGGGGAGGGGTGTGGGATAGAACACAGCTTACCTGACTTAAGTGGTGGTTGACCGTCATGTTGATACCGACTGATGACCACTCGTCCTTGTGTGGCACCGCTCTCACCATTAGTACCTGTGTGCAGCGGAGACAAGCATCATCAACCAGTGGACTATTGTGTATAAAATCAATCAAGCCTATGTAAACAGAACACGCCCTGGATCGTTTCCGAAGAACTATACCATGCATCATGCTATCCATCGTATTAATTCTTATTTATTCTGGGCCTTTATTTGGCTACTCTTCTTTGCGCTGTTCTAAAACCTCTCTGCTATTTGTTTTAATTCGTCCAGTCTTTATGAAGAAATGAGTTGCTCTTCCTTAACATTGCTCCAAGTCTGACATGAGTACATCCCACTCAAACAGCACATGAGTGCTGTCATATTGCTGTGGATACGAGAGCAGACCTCACCTTGTATTGTCCAGGTTGTACGGTACCGGCAGAGGGCCACACGGTGATGGGCTGGGCAGGTGTGTAAGGCAGGGTGAACTGTGCTGGTACACTGCCAGTGTTCTCTACTAACACAGTACCGTGTGCCGGCTTACCGACTACCGTGGGGGTCACACTCTGCGGGCAGTAGAGAGCATACATAGAGGTCATGTGATTATGTCATAATTATGTCATCATTATGTCATCATTTGAGACACGTTGTGTGAAGTGCCAAGCACCGCAGCTCAGCAGTGGACTAGTGTTGGTTTGCCATACAACACAAGTGTGGCTTGCCACCCAATGCAAACCAGCAACGTGTACAACTCCACACAAGACTACACTGTAGTACTGGTCTCCACCATACGCACTCTGTAACTTACAATGCAGATGAGATGACGTCATGCACTACACACGAAGCATACATGCACAAGTATGCTATGAACTCCTTCGCCTAACCCCCTCTCCAGGATAGACAAGTGGCAGATGTTTACAGAACTGCTCAGGGCGCGTTCAGACTACCGTGAACCCCGTCAAACCGTGAATGCCGATAAATCGTGAAGGACATTCACACTACCGATAAACTAACGTTACCGGTACGTAAGCTCTGACCGCGGCGCTGAGAAGGGATTTTCCCTTTTTCCCAGCCTGAGCACTCTTTTTACTGCCGGAATGCAGTTACCGCCGCAGCAGCCGCGGCAGTAAAACTGTTGCGCCGGTAACGTGCCAGTAACGTCACGTGATCAAGTCACCTTGGAAACTTTCCCATTCCGTCACTTTTTATCGGTAGTCTGAACGCGCCCTAAATAGAGAAAAGGTTACAGGGAATAGCAATGCTTAGATTATACTGTAAAAAGGTTAGTTTGATGGTCAACAATACAGCGTCAGTAAGTCTGTGCTGCACAAACACTGCTCACAAACAGACAATTCCAGCACGTACCACAACACTATCATGGTCGGCTTTCAGAACAGCGCGGGATATCTCCTCCTTGAACTTGAACGCGTGAGCTGCAACGTGGAGATAGAGAAAGAGAGAGAGAGAGAGAGAGAGAGAGGGGGGGGGGGGGGCGGGCAGAGCGAATCGGATTGGATCAGACAGAAAAGATGCGTAGGGCAAGGCAGAACAGTGCAAAGCCAAGCAGAGCAGGGCAGGGCAGAGAGATAGAGCACAGCAGAAAGGAAGGGAGGGGGGGGGGGAGGGAGGAGAAGAGATAACTGCACAGTACACGTAGACACGCTACATACAGCACTTATGTCATGACCTTGTGTTCACTGTGTTTACTGTTGGGACTTGCAGGTATCACTTAGATGGCACGTGAGGGCAACACATGGTCTTAGGTCCGCCGGGACTAGATGCTGGGACATGATCATGGAAGCCAATGTAGTCAAAACTCAGGTGCAGCTCACTTCATAACATTTGGGGCAATCCGGCATTATCGATAATTAGCACGCAACGAAACAGTTTAGTTAACCCTCTAGACAATGACTGTGCAGATACGGTCTCTCTCATGCCGGTAACACACCAGCAAGAGGTGCACCAGCAAGAGGTGTGTAGGGAAGTATGTGTACTTAGGCAATTGCCTGTACCTGTGACGGTGACAGCAAAGCTCCAACCCATCGCGTGGAACGGTTGCTTCACCCTGTCCTGGTCCAGCATTGCCTAGCAACATGAGCAATTATGACAATAACAAGCAAACCAACAGAAATGATGGCAGCAGCAAAACAGCAACTAAAATTTAATTTGCTGATGGAGTGATGTGTAATTATTGTATCGCGATATGGTCTGGCATGTGATTGGTGTATGGTGAATGATGTATGATGCATGTATGGGGGGGGGGGGGGGGGGGTATGGTGTATGATATGTATGATACACGTATGAAGTATGGTTTATGATGCATGCATAGTGTATGCGGGTACATCATGTGAGCACCTACCCTGTACATGCAGAAACACTCCAGTGTGCTGCTGTGAAGACGAGACTTGGCATCACGACCCTGCACACATATATACACACACCATACAACACACACATCACACACAAGCACCATCCAAAGAACAGCTGCCGTATTTTCCGGAGTACAAGCCGCAACCAGATATTTTAAAGAAGAGGTTGGTGCAACTTTGGCGGTACATGGGGAATTGCGTGTTGCTCCCTACCAGATATTTGGTCACGACATCCAGACATCCACCCTGTTAATCACTGTTAGTTTGACCATAGTAGTATAAGGCACACCGACCTTTTTACGATGAATTACTGGTGTCTGGATTGGATTGGTTTACTGAATGTTGAAAAACAGACAGGCAGTGCTGCAGTGTTGCCTTATTACATGAGATCGACTACAGACATACAAATATAAGGAAAAAGGAAAAGATAAAAAGAAAAAAAAGAAGAAAAAATAGAGTAAGGTTTAACACAGCAGAGGAAAGGTAACATAATTATTTGATCAGTGAGCAACGAAGTGTAAAGACCCAAGTATGGTGTATACTCCGGAAAACAATTTAGGTGTATCCCCAGTTTCAAGCTACATTGTCTTACCGGTTCAAACTTGACATGGAAGTAGCAACTCTCCTTGGGCTCTACTGCACGTGCTGCTGGCTTGATAGAGAACAGACATCCGGGCTCTGAGAACAGACACAGCATTCACATAGCGTTGTGTGTCGAGAGAGAGAGAGAGAGAGTGTGTGTGTGTGTGTGTGTGTGTGTGTGAGAGAGAGAGAGAGAGAGAGAGAGAGAGAGAGAGAGAGAGAGAGAGAGAGAGAGAGAGAGAGAGAGAGAGAGAGAGAGAGAGAGAGAGAGAGAGGGAGAGAGGGAGAGAGGGAGAGAGGGAGGGAGAGAGGGAGAGAGAGAGAGAGAGAGAGAGAGAGAGAGAGAGAGAGAGAGAGAGAGAGAGAGAGAGAGAGAGAGAGAGAGAGAGAGAGAGAGAGAGAGAGAGAGAGAGACAGACAGACAGACAGACAGAGACAGACAGAGAGACAGAGAGAATTGCAGTTGCTACGACACTAGCAGATGGACACTTGTATCCAGTAGAGACCAGCATGCTTCAGGAGGAACACGTGCGCCTTGACTATCGTGGATGGCGGCATTTGTGCAGATGCGGGAGGTCGGTAGGATTGCATTCAGAGCATGGAAGTGGTGAAAATGCATTCAGAGCATGTGTAGCATACCTGTGATCCACTGCACCACAATGGCACTGCTTGTTGTATTCACTAACGTCAGTGGCTGGGCACGTGGACAAACGTAAACACATGTACAAACACACACATACACACACAAACACACAAGTACGCACAAACATGTATGAACGCACAAACACGCACATGTATGCACACACACATGCAGACACACAGATCCCAGTTTGACTGTTTTAGCATTTCAGCTCCAAGTAGAAGGCAAGAAAAATACATGGTGACAACAGGAGACATTATGGCGTGTTCCTTCAGGACCTGCAGTC